CCGAATTCTTTTTCTGTCATGTTGCATGCTTCAATTTCATTAATTTCCTTTCTTGGTGACTCCTCATTTTCTTTCCTCTGGGGGTTGTGTTGTCTCCCCATTCTGATTATCTCAAGATGGTTCAAACGTCGAGTTGACTGGGCCTGGGCCATGTGCAGTGGAAGCCTCACGCCACCCTAGTGTCACTGAAGAGCTCTGACACTAAGATGTGTGGTTGTGGTGGGTTGGTGGGAACCAGGCTCGCTCAGAGTCAGTGTTACCAGCACTCAATGTGACCTTGTGTGTCCTTAGAATCAGGGACCCTGCCTGTACCCTGCTGAAACAGAGACCCTGCTGAAGTGTGTTGAAAATCAGAGCCCCCTAGTGTGCGCCAGGAATCAGAGTTCCCCAAGAATCCAGTATCAGAGTCTCTGTTGCTTCGCGTGGCCTCACATTGAGAATCAGGGTCCCTGTGTGCCCATGCACCAAGAATTGGAGTCATTGGCTTTTAGTATGAATGCCCAGGGGATCAGGGATCCCAGGCACAGGTAACAAGAAACACAGTACAGTCACTGGTGCTTGGTGCTGCCTCCTGCCCGGAGAATCAGGGTCCTGGGGCCCACTCTATGCAGGACAAGTTCCCGGAGTTCACGTGTTAGCTCCCAGGCCAGGGCTCCTGTAGCTGGCACTGAGCAGGACCAGTTCCCTGTGTTCACGCACTTCCAGGCTAAAGTTCCTGTAGCAGCACTGAGGCCCGGGCAAGGGGTGGGTCTATCAGTTACTATGGCGCTGCCCATGAGCCTGTGGGGAGGGGGATGGGCTTGGTTACTCACAGATCTGCGGCAGGGATTTCTGTACTCTTGGTGTCCGTGGGTCTGTAGCTGTGGTCGCAGGTCTCTGTCCCTGGTGGTTGTAGAGTCCTGATTTGCACCTGAGACCAGACTGGGTGGTGCTGAGGCCAGGATCCTAGTCTCAGGCAGCTCTGTTTCTCAAGATGGCATGGTCTCTGTGCCCATGCTGGCCGCCCAGGAGTGTCCATGCAGGGAGCGGGGCTCTGCCATCTAAGACTGCCCGGTTTATCAGCCCCTTAGAAGACCTGCAGAATCTAACTGTCCCTAGCTCATACACACACACACACCCCACACGTCCACACACTCCTCTATCACTCCCTCGCACTCTCACACTCTCTCCCTCCCTACCTTCCTGCCGGTCGCCATCATCCTAACTCTGTTCTTTCTTTCTTTCTTTTTTCCTTTTGTTCTTTCTTTCTTTTTTTACAAAAAAAAATGTTTTAATTGATTTCAGAGAGAGGCAGTGAGAGGGAGAGAAAGCTAGTAACATCAAAGGTGAGAGACAATCATTGATCAGCTGCCTGGTGGACAACCACTACTGGGGATTGAGCCTGCACCCTGGGCATGTGACTGAATTGACCCGGTGACCTCCTAGTTCATGGTTGGACTCTCAACCGCTGAGACAAACCGGCCAGGGCCTCTGTAAATTTCTAAAACCAAATACCTACGTTCTCGCCTTACAGTGTTTGACATTTTACAATAGACTATTGAGTCAAGAGAGCAATTTTCTAATGGGCAGAGCCAGCCTGACAAAGCAGGAATAACCTGGTGTAGGGAGGTGTGAAACCCCGCCCCTCCTCTCCCAAGATCCACCTAGGCTTGCCTCAGGAGGTGCCCACTCGTGTTTAAACCCAGGCCTGCCTCTTTGGGCTCACATCCTCTCAGAGCAGAGCAGTGTGTGTACTGCCTCCTCTTAGCTGTGGCTGCAGGCCAATTTTTGAGAACAGGGGACAGAGTATTTGGGAAGTGCACGTCTGTCTGCCTGTCTGTCTGCTTTGTTGACTTCCTCCTTTTTTTGGGACACACACACACACACACACACACACACACACACACACACGCATGCTGCTCCCTCCAATGCTGTAGTCTGAAGAGGAGGCAGAGAGTCCCGGGAGCAGCAGGTTTCTCAACCAGGAGGGCACCTGGGAGAGTGGGTCATGTCTGGCTCCTCCGCTGAACTGTCCCCAGTTCTGAGTTACATTTCAGCAATGTTTGGATGTTGCCAGTTTGATGACCTTGCACACTTGTATCAGGTTTACTCCTAGGTATTTGGTCTTCCAGACCCTTCATTCTCAAATTGCATCCGGTTCACCTCCACTTCCTTCCTGGATACAGCTGCTGCTGATGTCAATAAACAGAGAGCATCTGCTCTGGCAGGCCCTGTGCTGGTCGCAGAGTGCATAGCTGCCAACCAGGCAAACAGTTTAGTCTAGAGCAGGGACACACATGAAAGAGATAAGTATTGAACTCTTTTTAAAGTGCACGTAAAGGGACCCAAAGGGTGTTGGTAACAAGAGACTTGACATAATCTCAGGAGTGAGTGAGTGAGTGCCCCAGGGAAGTGCTTTTGGGATTGACACCTGGCGGATGAGGCCGTGATCCATAGTCCAACCAGGCAAACAGTTTAGTCTAGAGCAGGGACACACATGAAAGAGATAAGTATTGAACTCTTTTTAAAGTGCACGTAAAGGGACCCAAAGGGTGTTGGTAACAAGAGACTTGACATAATCTCAGGAGTGAGTGAGTGAGTGCCCCAGGGAAGTGCTTTTGGGATTGACACCTGGCAGATGAGGCCGTGATCCATAGTTCATGGCATATATATTTGTCCTTTTGAGAAGGGAAAGGGAGGTTTTAGTGGTACTTGTGGAGCATCTGCGACGATGTCAATGAACTTAAGTAATTTAGTAAGTACCCAACCATTTCTTACAATTCAGTACCCACACTTGGTTCTCTGAAGTTCCTGCTCCAGGTAGCATTAAGTACACTGAATGTAAGCAGCCATGAGTCTTTGTGCAGGCCTGATTGATGGGATATGAAATGTGCATCAGTTGGTAATTCCTGATACAAACTCTTTCAAATTCCTCTTCACATGCAACCCAAATCCAGACACAGTTATAAACCACAGCTACACTTTGATAGGTCCTTCCCTCAGTCCTGGGCCATGCGGTGAATTGTTTTACTCCAAAAACGGTGCCTCTCTTGTCCCTCTAGACTCCTAAGCCTCAGTCCACTAGCTCACCTGCCCCCATCCCAGGGTGGAAGGGGACTTGGGCAAATGATGAAAAGTTTTCCTTCTGATTTCCAGATTTAAGTCTTAAAGTTTTTAGTGACTGGAGACTGATTTTTCAACATTGTTAATGAAACCTTCTTACTACATAAGTTAAAAGTATAACATTCTCATGTTCCCATGTGCTTTTTTTTTTGGTCATTTGGACCAAATTTGATTAAAATCTTCATATGATCCTGAATTTATATACCTGTACTTCATTTTCCAGGAGAGAAATTAGGCTTCAGAGGAAGAATTTGTGTGATCACAAGTGGGTGATAGCAGGTGTGGGGAGGTCAAATGGTTCAGAAACATGGGTCCTGCCACATCACGACCCAAGGAACATGCTGGAAAATAGCAAGTTGAACAAGTAGTATCAGCCAGTTCCTGTGGCCGTGCTGGATCTGAAAACAATCCAACCTCAGGTGGAGAACTTGCTTCCACAGGCTTTCCAGTCCTGAGTGAACACTTTTTTCACTGGACAGGGACTAGGCCTGGAACAGATAAACCTATGGCCCACCAGTAATGTATGGGCTATTGACTGCCTGCAGGAAAGATTTCACAACACAAGGTGATCGTGAGACTGTTTACTAAAGTTGTGGATAGTGGAATAAAGGAAGGGCCTAGGATAGATGAAGCCACAGGAGAGCCAAGGCCGGCTGCTTGGGGTCACTAGAAATGTTCTCAGGAAAATATCGACCTAGGTGGGGCTGCATGGTTTCCCTAGAAACATTAGCAGGAAGACGTGGACCAGTGGGGTTGCTTGAGTTCACTACAAAGGTTATCAGGAAGAAGTGGACAAAGGTGGGGCTGCTTGTGTTCACTAGAATCCTTATCAGTAAGACATGGGCGAAGGTCGGGCTGCCTTTAGCTCACTGGAAAATCAGAGAAAAGTGGGGCTGGAGACTGGTTTATGGGGGTCCCTCAGAGGTTATGTCTTGCACACTCTGGGAGAAGGTTCCAGTTGCCCACTGGCACCCAGCCCTTGGCCGCCCTTTCCTCTCACCATCACCACACTGTTGTCTGTGTCTATGCATCTATGTCCTTTGGCTAATCCCTTCACCACCTTTCATCTATTCCTTCCAGAAAGTGTTAGTCGGTTCCATGTATCCATGCCGTCTTTCTATTTTGTTCATCAGTTTATTTTGTTCATTATGTTGCACTTGGAAACCTCAATGTTGAAAAAATTTCTGATTTAACTTGTTTTTATTGTTTTATTTAACTTTTTAAAATGACTCTAAAACGTGTCATTAATTGGGTGTGCTATAATTTATGAATAGGTCATCATGATTAAATCATACTTATCCAGGTGGTATTATTACAGATAATTTTTTATCTTAAATGTCCAATCTTGATTGATGTATGTTGGAAGTTGACCAAGAGGGTGAAACACAAAGGCTAAAACACTGTTGGCATTAGCAGAGCCAAGGGACCTACTGTGGAAAGGAAATGACACAAAGACTTTCTCTCTATGCCCAGGTCTGCTGAGGATCACTTTCTATGATCTCCCAGGACCTCTGGAAAGGAGTCCTTACCTCCAGGACTACCAATTGTTTGCCATTGGTCAAGTTAGAAAAATGTGTACCTTTTGGGTGGGCTCTGCTCTGAGGGATAAGTACTTGGTGAGAGGCACGTAGGCTGGATTATTGACCCACTCACCCATCATTCCATCACCCTTATTCATGAATTTTTCCTGATAATCCTCCCTCGCCCACAATTTCCTCACTGACGTTTCTAATGTATCACAAAACATCCTTTTCAAGGACAAGTTGTGATTGATTGTATTTATGATACCCCCCACCTTCTCACCTGCTGGGAATCTGTCTAGAAGATCTGACTGAAAGGAAGGCAGCGGGTGGGGCTTCCAGAAATCATTTATAACCTGCCACTTGCAGACATCACAGACACAACCAGACACGATTTGGAAGAGCTTCCCAGCAGAAGGCACAACAATGGCAGCGATACCAGTGAGTTGAGAAGGCACAGCCTTCAGTGATCCCAGGTCCCGTAAGGGAAGGAGGAATGAGTCTGAGATTTTCCAAGATGAAAATATTAAGAATATTTTACTTGGGGTTGTGAATGTATGGAAGAGAGAGGATGGTTAAATGTATCTACTGTCAGCATTTGGTGGTATCTGACTGAGGGTGAACTCTATTGAGACACTGTGACTTTGTGTGGGAAGTGAGCAGCTGACTGGGATGAGAGAATGTGAACATAGGTGCAAGGGGTGAGAGTGCACATTTGTCTTCATGCCTCTGAGTATGTGTGTGTGAGTGCAGCTGGGGCAGTGGTTGAACAGCTATTCATGTTATGATGAGCAGTAGTGTTGGGAGGTATGTGTGAGATGGTGAGTCCCATGTCTTTGTGTATCTGTGTGTGTATGATGATCTATGACTGCATGTTGAACTATGAATATGTGTGTAGTTGTGTCTGCTTCTGAGGGTTCTCCCATATACGGTAGTGACTGTTTAAGCAGCTGTGGTTCTGTCCCTGTGTATCATCATGGCTCCTGGTGGGCAGAACCGGAGGTCCTGGGGAGAGTGGGTTTCCCAGGACTCCCCCCCGAGGATTAATGAGAGCAGAATGAGTCAGTCCTCAGATGCCTCTTCTCAAGAAGGCTAGGGAAAGGTGAACTCTGACTGTGGGGCACAGGAGCTCCTATTTGAATCAGCACACAGTGACCCCTGCTCCTGCCTCACGTCTCCTCCCCCAGTCAGTCCTTCCTTTGTCCTATCAAAAAATGGTAAGCAGATCCTGGCTCTCTGGGGAAGGTGGTTGGGAGAATCGGTTTCAGAGGATGGATCACCTGAAGATGGAAGGAACAAAACCAGCCTCAGTCCAGACAAACCTTACAGTTGATACCAGGGAACAACCTGTAGATTCTGTCTAATTCTTTTCCTGTCTCCCACCCTGTGTGCAGGGACTGACTGTGCTCAGCAACTTGTGCACATTCCTGAAAGGACACCATTGCCCATGAAATTTCTGATGCATATACATGCCACATACAGGACTCTCCTTTTCCATTATTTCCCTAGCCCTTTAAGCAACTGTCTTATATAGGAGTGGATTTTTATATTTTATACTTTTACTTTTTCTAAAGTCTTCACAGTTTCAGATAAAAACCGATGGGGGGCGGGGGTAGTATCTGCAAAAGGGTCCTCCCCTTCTGCTAAGTCACCCCTGTATAGATAGACTCTATACCCGCCAGTGACCATGCTGACAGTAGATACATATCTCTTAGCTCAGATATTCCTGAGAACATCCAAGGAAATAGGAATTTTATAATCCTTCTTGTACTGAGAAAACTGAAGCAGGGAGCATTCAAGTAATGGAAGTCAGTTCTCATTGGTCGTTAGAGGCAGAATCAGCATTAGAATCCAGGCCACCTGGCTTTAGAACTCTTGCTGTTAACTTCAACCTTCTCATTTCTTCAAAAACAGGGACCATCCTATGGTGAGGTGGGAAGAAGTGGGTCCTGAGAGTATGTCCTTTAGTGTATAACCTGCTTTGCCACTGGGAACTGTTATAGGATGGGAGACTACACCTGGCCTTACCCCTCTCAACCACTCTTGTCTCCCATGGCAGGTCCCATATACAAAATATGTATCCTTGTCTGCTGGTACTTTCATGAAAATCAAAGGGACATTTGTCATGCCTTTCAAGTGAGTATGTATAGCCCATTGGGAGGAGAAGTGAGATTATTAGAGATTTGGAGGTTACTTCATGCATGACTGAGGTTGAAGTTTGTAATGAGCATAATGGTAGCACAATGTAGATGCACGTTTAGAGACCGATATGGTCCCAGGCATTAAACCTACGGGTGCATGACGGTGGGCAAGTGTTGAAGTCTGGGGGCTGGGATCACTCAGGCATTGGAGCTGAGGTTTATTATCAAGGGACACAGTGTTTCCAGGGCAAGTAAAGTAGCCCCAGGCCAGTGACTGCTGCTCAATGTGAGTCCTGGCCTAAGAGACGGGGCAACTCCCCAGCCTGGGCAAGACAAGCGGAAGCAGCCCCACAGGGACACGTACTGCGGTCTCACCCAGGAAGGCCTTCCCTCCCCCAGGAGGAGTTGGGAGGGGGTGGATGTGTGTGTTGAATGTGGGCCCCATGAGGAAGGGTCCTGCTCAACATGCTTCGTGCTTTGCCTTCAGCATGGACCCAGAACTGCAGGTGGATTTCCACACCGAAGCTGAAGGCACCAAAAACATTGCCTTCCATTTCCGAGTGTACTGTGACAGATTTGTGGTGATGAACAGCCGTCAGTGTGGGAACTGGGAAGAAGAAGTGAGTACCTCTGTTATTTCCTTTGAGGACAGCCAACCCTTTGAACTGGGCATCTTGGTGCTGTCAAAGGAGTACCAGGTGAGTGTTCCCAGGAACATCTACTACCATCCTGTGGCTCTCAGGGCTCTCACAGGAGTACACAGCTCTCCCTGGCCTGGCCCCCAGAGTCAACTGTGGTTCATCTCCTGCCCCTCTCATCATACAGCACCCTCTGCTTGTACTGCCATGCTCAGGTCCTTTTCCAAATCTTAGCAGGTCAAGATCAGCACACATGCCTTATTCTCCAGAGTGGAGAAGTTCTTGTCTTCACTCAGCCTCATTTCTACCTATGCTGTCATTCCTTCAGTTTTCATGTAGGAGATTGTTAAAATATGCATATAACTAGTTATAATCAGTCTAAAATTAAGTCTTTCCTACATTCCCAAACCTAGTCCCCCTCTCCAGAGCAACAAATCCTAACTCCTTTATGCTCCTTCCAGAGATACTATAAGCTTGTTCAAGTCTATGTATCTACCTATCACTTATCTCTATCTGCTTTTATTTTTAAACGAAGATGTTGTAAGTTTCTCTAGAAATCACACATTGATGGCTAGATTTTACTTGTTGTCAAACAATGTATGTTAGAGAAGCTAACATCATTCTAAGTGTGATGCCCCAACATTATTTAATGTTTACATAATATTTCAATAGAAGCATTTTCAGAATAATTTAACTTGGCTCTTATTCATGAACATTTAGGTGGTTTCCATATTTTGCTCTTATGAATGATGCTTCATTCTATCTCAATTTTTGTCATGATCAACATCCCTATTCTTATAAGGGAGTATAATTTCAGAGGAATTGGATAACTGGTTCAAAGAGGGTATGCATTTTAAATATGAAAAATTAAGACCTAAAAAGTCCAGTTTTTCTCCATAGCCACACCGATAAAGTGTATGTTTCAACCTTCTATCATTGGAGAAGCAAAAAGATTTCATGTCCTATGATTGGAGTGAGGCATTGTTCCATTTGCTTATAAGCTGAATAAAAATGTCCTCATTTGAGCATTATGCTAAGTGAAATAAGCCAGTCAATGAAGGAAAAATACCACATGATCTCACTCATTCATGGATAATTGAGACCTTTATAAACTTTTGAACAATAATAGATACAGAGGCAGAGAATGACAACTAATACCCTTTGTAATAAAAAATTTTTTTAAAAAGTCCTCATTTTAATCATATATACTGTTCCTCCTCTTTAGGAACATTCAAGTTTTGGTTCAGTGGTTAAAGCATTGGCCTGCACACTAGAGGGTCGCAGGTTAGATTCTCAATCAATGGCACGTATCTGGGTTATAGGTACAATCCCCAGCCCCATTGAGGCACATGAGGAGGCAACGAATTGAGCCTCACATTTCTCTCTCTCTCTCTCTCTCTCTCTCTCTCTCTCTCTCTCTCTCTCTCTCTGTCTCTCCTCTCTCTCTCTCTCTCCTTTCTACTTTTCTTTCTCTCTCTCTTCCTTTCCTCCTTCCTTCCACCCTCGCTCTATAGAAAATAGGAAAAAAAGTTTTATTCTTTACTTTTACCACCCATCAGGAGTAAAGGACAGTAACATTTAGCAGAGCTAAAACGAATGTGCTCAGTAAACACTTAATGACCAATTAGCCCAGTGGGTCTCAACCTTGGCTGCACATTAGAATCACCTGGGAATCTTTTTAAAATCCTGATTTCTGGGCCTTGTCATCTGCAAATTCTGTTTGGGGTGGGGCCACAACATTAGTAACAAAGAAACACAATTTCTGGAGGATGAGGCCCAGAAATCAGGATTTTAAAAAGATTCCCAGGTGATTCTAATGTGCAGCCAAGGTTGAGAACCACTGAATTAGCCTATGAATTCTGTGCAAGACCCAGACTCACAATTCATGAAACAGTTCCTGGCCAGAGGAAAGCCCAGGCAGACATAGACAGAGCTACATAATGTGCTAACATCTATGGAAGAATGAGAGAAACACAGAAAATAGGGTGAATAACTGTCTGAAATTGTCACAAAAGGTAGGCTATAAAAAGAAGCATGTCTGCTGGGTTTTGAATGTGACTAGGACTTTCAGGTGGATGGTGTGTGTATAGGGTAGAAAAGGAAAGGAAGACGGCAAGGTTGTTTGGTGGCATGCTATTGTTGCTGACACACATTCTCTTCCAGGTAATAGTAAATGGTCACCAATGTTACACTTTTCCCCATCGATATGACCCAGCATCAGTGAAGACGATCCGAGTGTGGAGAGATGTGTCCCTGACCTCGGTGACTGTCACTTAGAGAAGGATGCGACCAGACTCCCCGTTGTCAAGGAGATCCCTCCACCTAAGTGACTCTGTGATGCCCAGAGCTCACTGACAACATGGGTTCTCACCTGTCCCCCAATCTTGGTCATTAAAACTCCTGAAAACACAACAATATTTGCTTCTTGCTTTAGAGGGGAAAAGAGAGGGAAAAAAGAGCATGTGGTTGTCACCAAGAGGGGTGTGAGAAAATTGTGGGAGGATCAGGGTATCAAAGTGGATAAACATTTCTCTGATACAAGGAGTGACTGACAATCTCAAGAAATATCTGAGAAGACTTTGGAACCATATTCCTATGATGTAGTGCTTAAGATATGTTTAGAAACTCTGAAGCAAAATCCTTCCCCAATTTCAGACAGCCAAACTAAGACTTTAGGCATCTCTCTAGTGCTATAATTGGTGATTTAATGAAGAAACTTTGTATTTTGAGGAAAATCAGGTGAAAAGTCTTAATTCTTCTTTTATGCTAAGAATTTTTAATTTATATTGACACTGTGCCTGTTTTTGTGTAAGATACACTGGGGAAAATAAAGAAAATGACAAGGCTAGCACTTAAAATTTCCTTTAACCCTTACTGAGGATATATTTTTATTGATTTTGACAGAGAGAGAAAGAGAGAGAGAGAGAGAGAGAGAGAGAGAGAGAGAGAGAGAGAGAGATCAATTGGTTGCCTCCCATATGTGCCCTACTGGGAGCTGAGCCTGCAGCCATTTGGTGTACAGGATGATGTTCCAATCAACTGAGCCCTCCCCCCCCCACCCCCCGCTAGAGTGCACTTAAAAAATTGTAATCCAAGGACTATTTGAAGAACCAAAAAAAATGCCCCAAAGATTTTTCTATTATTCAAACAATTTCAAGATTTTTCCAATTTATGTGGGTAGAAGCCTGGGGCATGTTTCATAATGAATTGTGACTATTTTAGACCAGGGAGGATAAAATTTGTTATTTTAACAAGAACAATATATACACCCGGATGCAGTGACCAGACTCTGGTTTTGATGTTGTCCCACTTAATCATTACAGAATAACAAACCTCCCAAAATATATTGGTTTACAACAACAATTTATTATTATTATTATTATTATTATTA